GCTTGCGTGGCTAAAGCTGGCCCCAGACCCCACAGGAACAGGTGAGGCTTCTGGCAGGCTCTCCTGGGATTTCGGGCCTCTGCCTTCAACCACAAGTGGTTGCAAGTCATTTGTTAGATAGGAGCAAAGAAGAAATTTGATTTCTGTGGGGACTCAAATAGAGTTTCCCACTTGTGGTAGAGGCGGCATGGGAGGACAGCCCTTGCTTGTTAGAGGGACCCCTTTATGACCCTCAATCCTTTTTAGACTTCTACTTCCGGTCAGGGGTGCTGAGGAATATTTGTATGGAAAAATACTGAATGTTATGTGGGAAAATGATAAATGAGGAAATTATCTGGAGTTGTGAAGACAAGTCAGGGGCTGTCTGGGGCCCAATGGCAAGAAGCTGTTAGCCTGGGTAAGAGCGAGCAGTCCAAGATGGAGCTGGAGTGCAGGTAAGCTAGGCAGGGAGAGCCAGAGGCCAAGGAGGTGGTAAGGCGCTCCCCAGGCGGGCAGAGGGACCCTGGGCTCACAGCCTAGTCATCTGGGCATCACAGTACAGATCATAACATCCCCCAACTCAGTTGTTCATTGGCTATGAGCTTAGTGCCAGACCATTGTGCCCTCTGGAGTGGCTCGGTCCTTGGCCTGGAAGGGAGGGCTGGCATGAAGTGACCTCCTGCCCTCACCCTTTTCTTTGAATCTCAAGGACAAAGGTGGGGCAGACAAAGCTTGTGACACAGAGAACTAAAAGGAAGAACTCCATTTTCATTTCAAGCTCCTTGGAGGGTCCAGGAAGGCTGCAGGAGTCTGGAGGAGAGCTTGATGAATTAAACTTACAGGTCAGCATGACTGCAGTCAAGGCATGAGGCAGGGCTGTCAGCAGGGATCAGCAGGGGCTGCTTGTGGGCTGGGATTGGGAGTTTAGGCTTTGTCCTAAGACCAATGGAGAGCTCTGGAAGCTTTAATAGACAGGAGTGACATAATCAGAATGGCATTTTAAAAAGCTCCCTTGGCCGTTGTGTGGAGAAAGGATTGAGTGGCCAGACAGAAGATAGAAAGGTCAAGCAGGAGGCTGTTACAGCACCCAGGCAAGAGAATGTGGGGGCCTGGATCGGGGCTGGAGCTATGGAGGCAGAGGGAAATGGGCTAGTTAGGGATGAATTAGGGATGAATGCAGTCATGCCTACTAACTGGTCTCCCTGCTTCCACCTTTGCCCCTTACAGTCTTGTCTTCATAGAGCAGCCAGAATGATCCTGGTTAAAACATAAAAGTCCAGGTCAGGCCACTCCTCTGGCTTCTCACCTCAGAGTAAGAGCCAAAGTCCTTCCTGTAGCTTACAGGGCCAACAGAGTCAGCTTGACTGCCCCCACATCTCTCTGGCCTTATCTATTGCTCCTAAGCATTTCACTTACACTACTCCAGCCATTTCTTCACTGTTCTTAGAACATGGCAAGCACACGCCTCCTCCCCGTGCCCTACACAGCACCTTTGTAGTTCTTGCTCCCACTGCCTGCAATGCAATTTCCCTAGATACTCACACAGATGCTCCCTTATCAGCTCAGGTCTTTGCTTAAATGTCACCTTAAGTGAGATCTTTCTCAATTCCCTTTTCAATTCCCTATGTTCCTGGAACATAGTAGATTCTTAGCAAATAATTAGTTGAATGAATGAGTTGGGGTTGAGGATGCCAGAGGTAGGCTGAGGATATATGAGGGATATAGTTGCCCTCTGGGCCTTACCTCCCCAGCGGGCTTAGGAAGTACGCCAGCAAAAACCAGTACAGCAAGGTGAGGAGGAAGATGATGGGAGACAGGGAGGCCGTGTGTATGTGTGTGTGTGTGTAGGGGAAGAGGTGCGTGGTGCTGCCCCTAGTGGCCTAGGGTCTGGGTAGAACAGACATAGGTCTGGGCCAGGCTCTGACAAAGGAGATAATAGGTTGTGCCCAGAAGCATGGGGTAGGAGTGGAAGGGGTGGGGTAGAGGGCACGTGGATGGGAATTACTCTGCCTGGGGATGTGTGGGCCAAAGCTTTGTTCTAAGGGAGGGGACGATGGGGGCAGTGGAGTTGGGCCTTGAAGAGTGAGTAGGAGTTTGCTGGATGGATAAGAAAGAATAAAGGCATTTTGAGTTTGAGAGAACATCTGAGAGGTATACAAAGACAGGATGGTAAGGTGTAGCAGAGGAAGTGAGACCAAGCAGTCAGCAGCATGAGTCAGAGAGGCTTGAAATGCTAGGCCTACAACTGATAGATCAGGGACTCCATCCTGAGGGCTCTGGGGGCATTGAAGGGATCCATGGAACAAGGGAGTGGGAGAATGCTCCAGCTGCCCTGAAATAGACCCCAGAAATGGTTGGGAGGCAGAACCCCAGACACAGTGGTGGGTAGGATGTGATGGCTGGGGTGAGGGTGCAGATGATAGCCAAATCTCTGGTTTGCAGGCCTCTGAGGTAAGGACCTGAGAGAGGGGCAGGTTTGGGATCAGTAATAAGCGCTGGGTCCGGGCCAGGTGGGCTGGGGCCCTCAGAATTGGGGATCCTGGACCTGTGTCTCCTCCTGAGAGTCGGCCGCCCTGTCTCAGAACTGGGACCCTGGGTCACAGAAACCTTGTCACGCAGTCACTCGCTGCGCATCCCGGGATTAAGGCTAGCACAGGTAGCTGGTGGATCTACAGCGGCGGGTGGGAGTGGGGAGCCGAGTCTGCGAGTTTGAGCCTGGCCGAGCGGTGGGGGTCCGTCCCCGTGGCTCGGGTATTTATTTTTCCGCCTACTCCTGCGCCTACTGGCTTCCCCGGCTGCCCGTCATCCCTTCTGCGCCCGCCTAGGACGGGGTGGGGCCCGGACCGTGTCCGCGGGGCGAGGCGGGTGGGAAGGAAAGGGCAGAGGCCTCCACCGGCCCCACCCGACTCCCGAGCGGCTTTAGGGGGCGAGAGGGAGAGGGTGCGCGCGTGCGTGCGTGCGTGTGTCCGTGTGTGCGTGTGTGTGTGCATGCGCGCGCGCGGCACCGCAGCCCGGACACCCGGTCCGCTCCAGACCCCGCCTCCCGGCTCGCCGTCTGACCCCTCGCGGAGCAGAAGGAGACACGCGCGCGGCGGGGCACGAGGTCGTCCGCAGGACCCGGGCCCAGGACTCCAGCCCTCTCTCTCCTCGCCTCACTTCTCAGGGGGCACCTGCCCGCCGCCCGGGCCTGGGCGCCCTCAGGGAGGGGAGGCGGCGGCGGGAGGAGCCTTTGGAAGGCGCCTCTCGGAACGACTTAAAGCAGGAACACGATGTCTACGAGAAGCAAGCAGAAATAAGCGCTGGGTCCGGGCCAGGTGGGCTGGGGCCCTCAGAATTGGGGATCCTGGACCTGTGTCTTCCTTACGAGATTATGTACACAACCCCTGAAAAAATGCAGACTAAGCACGGATCACAGTATTCTTCAGGACAGGGCAGTTCTTACCAAGGGAGTGTGTAGAGACAGGGTCACAGTTCAAAAAGGTTGGTTTGTTTGTTTGTTTTTCCAGAGCTTGACATGACTGAGTCTAAATCTTGACAGTTGGAAATGTACAAGAACAGCCTTGACAAGTTAGTAAATGAGGAACAAGAAGGAGAGGTTGGCATATTAAACTCTACAACAGTAGTAATTAAATCAATGCGATCGTGTCAGTGGAATCGAGTCCAGGAACAGAGACTCTTAAAAAATATGAGAAGGTCCTAACACTAAGAAGTTAAATAAGCCTTGGAAAATGAGTGAAGGGTTTAGGGCAATTCACGCAAGAAGAACTCTTGGAGGGAGAAGACCATCCTGTTCCCCACTGTTCAGTCAGTGCCCAAGAGCAAACACAAGAAATATTAGTCGAATGAATGCACATCACCGGTAATCAGAGGAATGCAAATTAAAGCAAGTACGTGTCTTATTTTACTTATCGGATTGCCAAAAAAAAAAAAGATAATATCCTGTGTTGGCAAGAGCATGAAGGAAAAGGGTACTGTCGTGTGCTGATGGTAAGAGCGTGAACTGATAAGTCTTTTGTGGTTTGCGATAGTACAAAATTGAAAATAGCACAAACGTTCTTTAGTCGGGGCTCCCTAAATAAACCGGGACTGAGTAGATGAGGCTGCTTCCGGCCCGGAGCGCCCTGTGGAGAGCTTAGATCCGTGTGACCCGGAGTCCGGGACAGTTTGTTGCGTGTGAACAGCTATAATTCACCAACTCTGATAACCATTTATATTTTTAATAAGTGCGAGTCTGTGCAGGCTTGTGCAACCGAGCCATGAAAGGCTCCAGATCACCCCACCACCCTGTAACCGCCAGGCCTCGGAGAAGGGGTTGTGTTTACCCTTGGCTTTGGCGATAGGAGCTAAGCGAAGGGTGCGGCCCCGGGCCCTCTTCCTTTCTCCCCACCCCCCCTTTCCCGCCTCGCCTTCTCTAATCTCCCACTGCCCCTCCCCGACACTCTCTAAGCGCGCCCCCTGCTGGGGAGAAAGGGGAAGGGGAAAGAAGAAGGGGTCGGGGTGAGAATACTTTAAGTGGGCAGGGGGCGGGAGAGGAGAGAGGGAGAAACCCGTGAGAACTCCGCCGCTGAGAAGGCCAGGAGGCAGATAAACTCCCCCCCCCCCCCCCCCCCCCCCCCCCCCCCCCGCCACGGCAGTCCCGGTGATCTTCCCACGCTGCGCAATCCTTCCTGCAGCTGCTAGGGGCTGCCCTCGCTCTGCTGGTGGCCAGGCGGGACCTCTCCTGTCTGTGCTCACCTTAGTCATACCTGTGCACACACAGTTCCTCACCCTGAAGAGCAATTCCCTCCTCACCCCTTAGTTCTCTGCTCCTTCCCTGATTCCACCGAGGTCCGACCCCTTGGCGTGACATCACTTGTAGCACCCCAGACCTCACCTCCCTATTACTATAACTGCCCCTTGTGGATTACATCTGCCACCCATCTAGGCCGTGGCCTCCTTGAGGACAGCACAGCACCTGTGATGCCCACCAGTGCACCCGGTGCCTAGGACAGGCTTGGCACCTGAACAGAGGCACTGACATGTTCAAGGCCGAACAGAGGGAATTTATTAGAGAGGCAGGGGGCAAACACATATTTACATGGGCCGCGCCGGGGCATTAAAAGCAGAAGCGGGGACGGGAGGTTCCGGAAGCAGCTCAGACGAGTTCCACCTTGGCATTGGGGTACACCGCCACCACGTCGTAGCCCTCGGGTGGCTTGACGCGCGCCTTGGCGTGGCTCTCGCAGTAGAGCCGCTCGTCCAGAAAGAAGTAACCGCGCTGCTTAAGGTTCAGGCCGCAGTCGCTGCACATGAAGCACTCAGGGTGGTAGAGCTTGTCCCGCGCCTTGACGATGGTGCCCCTGATGGGGAGACCAGGAGAGGACTGCTTCAGGCGACTGACGGATTCGCGAGCACGCTCCCATCCAGGGCCTCGGGCGCGGCCGGGGGGAAGGCCGGGGTCGGGGTCGGGGAAGCAGGGGAGGGTACTCACACTATGCCGTGGCCGCAGCGCGTGCACTCGGGCAGTCCTTGCAGGCCACTCAGCGGAGCGCCCAGCTTGCTGGCCGTGGGCTTGAGGTTGCGGGGGCCGCTGGAGCCAGGCCGCTCCCCTGAAAGCCGGAGCGCAAGCGGCATGAGCCCGGTGCGGAGGTCAGAAAAGGGAACTTCACTTCTGCGCGGTGTGGGATGGACCCAGCTTCCGGGACCGCGAGCACTGCGACTGGGGACGAGGTTTGGAGGGGAAGGGGGCCGCGACAGGGGTGGAGTGGGAATCGGGACACTGAGGCGCCGCGAGGGGTGTGGGACCGCTCAGAGGAGACGCGGCAGGGGTAGATGGCTGGGGGGCAGGACGTGGGGGAGGGGGGTCGCAAAGCGGCGGGGGCGGGGCGGGGCTCTCCAGGGCACCCGAGGGAGTGGTTAGGCAGGTGGGGCAAGGTGGCGGGAGTCTTACCGCCCTCCCCGGCCTCTAGCATGCCCTGCAAGTAGCGGAAGGAGCCTGACTGCTTGGGCTCCGCAGCCGAGGGCTCGGCCGGCTCCCGCAGCATCCTGTACACCTCTGAGCCCAGGTCCACGCCGCAGTCACGGCTCCGTGGGAGGCCTCTGGCTGTGTCCGCGCTGGGCAAAAGAGATGCACCAAGGGACACGGTTGTGGTACCAGCCTTCCCCCTGCCAGCACAGGGGTCTGGTGAGGTTTTCAGAATGAAACCAGCTGAGACCCAAAGATCAAGTGTCAGGGGTCAAGATGTGACCCAGGGAGATCTGAGAGATCTGGGATTAAGATGGGATCTGGGTGTGGCTTCGAAGGCCACTTCTCTGTACTACCTGTGAAGTGGAGACACATGCAGGGTGCTCATTTGGGTCAGTAAGGTAGCCTCATTGCTGCTGCCATTGTGATGGAATGGGAGGTGAGATGGCTGCCCATAAGGAGGTCCCAGGCCTGGCCTGCCATCTTCTAGCCCAATCCCGGTGGCTGAGGGCCTCCTGCTGGTCGCTGGACTGCCATCCTACGAGAGAGAGGGGCCCGAGGCACTGAGAAACCATCTGGGGTAGGGCTTCTGGCCATTCCTTATACATTCCATCCTTGCCCCGTTCTGCCAGGCCTTCTTGGATGTTGGCTGGTTACCCCTGCTCTGGCATCTCCGGGCTGTGGTGCCCAGCCAGGGAAGGGCTGAAACTTGGGCCTGGCTCAACCCCAGAAGAAATGAGAAATGTCCGTGGAAAGTCAGACACAAAAACCTAAGTGCCTGAGACTCAACCTTGGCACAGGAGCCATGGGGTGGTTCTGACCACCAGCGCCTGTGATGGACGGTGTTGGGGCACGACCATTCCAAGTAGCCTTTTAAGGCCAGCGTGACTGGAGCAGAGTGTGTGGCTTCCTTGCAGAGATGGTCCTGGTGCCAGGCCTTCTCACCTGCCAGAACCGTGCTGGGTATTGTCGGGGCCCATAGCTGGGAACATGAAAAAGAAAGCCCTGTCCTGCAGCCAGGAAGAGTCATTAATCACTGTGTGCCCAAAGCACACAATGGGGGTGGGGGGCAGACTGAGGTTCAAAGGCGTCATTGGGAGGTCAGCCCCTTTCAGGCCTGTACCTTTGCCTCCATTTCATGCTCTGCAGGGCGATATGCGTGGCCCTTCTACAGGCAAAGCAGATGGGGGGCAGTGGCTGGGCCAGGCCTTAAAGATCCCCACCCTACCACTCCATGGCCAGCCTGGTGCCCTTGGCTGAAACATTTGGGGAAATGCCTTGACCATGTGTCCTCAGCTCAGGAGAAAAGGGAGGTATCTCCATGGGTATGGATCTGAATGGGGACTGGGGATCTTTGTCTCTGCAGAGTCCAAGGCTATGCTGCCCCTAGCTTGCAGGCACACACAGGCATGCACACTCTCACAAGAACTTTCACAGACAAACACATGCACAAAGACAGCACACAAGGTCTAGCCAGTCCACTGACATATACCTAATCATACATACACAGTCTCATATACTCAGAGCCAGTGCTGGTCACCCTGGGACCACCGTAATAGTAGCCTCCATGGCTGGGAGGAGGTTGGTGGCCAGAGCAGCCTGACTTTAGGATAAGGCACAAGAGTCCAGGACAGGAAGGTGGGTCTCAGCATCAGCCTGGGAGGTGACATGCAAATTTCCTCTCTGCTCTACACTGGGGACGAGGAGACTAGGTGGTAGGGACAAGATGTCTACTCTAAAGGGTAAGAGCCTGTATCGGACTCAGGCAGCCTCCAGCACTGGGGCACAGCGGAGCCTGCAGAGCTTTGTCCCGACTGCTGCTGCTTTTTCTGCAGCCTCTGAGCTGGGTGGGAGCTTGAGGAAAGGGCGGACCAGCCACTGAGTGGGGGTGGTGCCCCCATTTCCCCCACCTCAACAGACAAAGGGGAGGGTCTCCCACTGCCCAGGTGGGCCCCTATCAATGAGGCGATAGCAGTAGGAAAGCCCTCTTCCCCACTGGGCTGAACAAAAGCCTCTGAGAAACCCGATCACTTTTGCACATGTGTCTGCAGGGCAGACAGGCAGGCAAGGCTGGCCTGGCCTGTAATGGGGACCAGATGGGCCATGGGCTGTGGGGGCAGGGCTGGGCCTGGTACGGAGGAGGCTGGGACAGGAAGGGGAGTCAGAAGGTCCTGGCGAATGAGGCCCTCACTCACCCAGCAGGGTCATCAAAGCCACTGCCCCTCCCACGGCCACCCATGCAGCCGCCTCTCTCGGTCTGAACTCAGTGGTTAGGATACACATGGTGACCTCAGTCTCGGGTGAGTCCCACCTCTACCACCTCCCTGAATCTGTTTTTTCATCTGTTGAATGGGGATTGTAATGGTCTCTACATCCTAAGTTCCTTGTGGGGATAAAAATGAGACAGTTGCGTGTAAAGCACTGGGCATAGTGCCTGGCACACAGCAGATGCTTGTTGGATGAAGGGCTGTCATGGGCATTCCTGAGTTCCTATTCCTAGTCCTGGATGTCCCCCGCTCTGTGTGGTAGTGCACCTGGTGTCACGTGCTCCCCCCTCTCTGAGTATCTGCAGCTGTTGATTTGGTTGTTGAAGCCTCAGTGGGATAATCAGCAGAATGGGGTAACTGCCTGCTTGTTCATCAGCTCCCACGTGACTGTGGTCAGAATCTGGGACATTCGGGGCGCCTGGGTGGCTTAGCTGGTTAAGTATCTGCCTTTGGCTCAGGTCATGATCCCAGGGTTCTGGGATCGAGCCCCGCGTCGGGCTCCCTGCTCTCAGGGAGCCTGCTTCTCCCTCTCCTCCCCGCTTGCGCCCGCGCTCTCTCTCTCTCTCTCAAATAAATAAATAAAATCTTAAAAAAAAAAAAAGCATCTTGGGCACTCAGCTTGGATGGAGGTGGGCACTAAGCCAGAGGAGCGGGTGGTACCTCCGGGAGGCCAAACCCCAGCTCCCTGCAGGTCTGGAGGGGACAGCCTGAGTGTGCGAGGGCTGCCTGCTCTACCTGGCTTGCCTTAACCCATCGCCTGGTTCTCAGCTTAAATGCCATCCTCTCCAAGAAACCTTCCCTTATCATCATCCTTCCTCTGCCCCGGGCTGGACCAGATGCCCCTTGTGTTCCCACCTGAGTAGAGCCCGAGGGAAGAAGGGTCTCCTATGACCCTACATGACCTGCAGAACCTATTTGCATCGGGGGTGCATGTCAGGGTACCTTGTGCTGGTCTTAGGGCCAACTGTGGTTTTCTCCTCCTCTGATGTCTCTGGCTGGGCCCACCCACTCGCCGCTGCAGGCGGAGGGTGGGAGCACAGTGGGGACAATGGGCCCTGTGTCTGTGTTCCTGAGGACACAGCCCTGCGGGGGCTGGGTGGGGGTGTTTCTGTCGCCACCCATGGAGTTCATGACTTTTTTTTTTTTTAGATTTTTATTATTTTTTTTATTTATTCATGAGAGACAGAGAGAGAGACAGAGGCAGAGGGAGAAGCAGGCTTCCCGCCGAACAGGGAGCCCGATGCGGGACTCGGTCCCAGGACCCTGGGATCATGACCTGAGCCGAAGGCAGACGCTTAACCGACTGAGCCACCCAGGCGTCCCGAGTTCATGACTTTTAAGTCCAAGAGGGGGATGGTAGCTGAGGGGCAGCCCCCTCAGCTTAGAGAAAATCCCTCTGACTCCAGCCTGAGCCACTGGCAGCCTGGCCATTGAGGAGGTCAGTAAGGGAAGGTGTTGGGGGCAGGGGCCGCTGCTCTCCAGCCCCCCCGCCCCCAGGCGCCCTGGCCCTGAGCCTCTCCTGAAGGACAGAATAGAGCTGAGATTCAAATTCCAAAACTCCTGCGCTCGTGCCCTGTCCATCCTGCTCTCACATGGGACATCTGGCCTCACATAGGTGCTGGGGCCTGCACAAGGCTGCTGCCTGCCGCCTGGCTGATTTGTCAACCCCTGCTCACCCCTGGCCCCTTGGACCAGGGCAAGCTCTGGAGACACAAGTGTGGCCACAAATCTCTGCAGGAACAGCTGAGGTCCTGGACAGTGGAAACCAAGAGACTGTCTGTGGTTCTGCCCCATCACCTCATCCCTTGCTTCTGCCCTCCCACCCTCGGAGCTTTCTTTTTTCTGAACCTATGATGCACAATCTCACTTCTGAGCCTTTGCATGTGATTCCTTGCACACTTCCCTTCTCCACGCCTCTTTGCTGGCCTTATTCTTCCTAGTCCTGCAGGTCTTGGCTTGGATTCTCCCTCCTCCAGGAAGTCCTCTCTGAACCTTTAGGTGAATCATGTGCCTACTCTGGACTCCTTTGGCCCCTGGCTTCTGCCATTCCAGAGTTGCTAAGTGCCTCTTCCTTTTCATAATGGGCACTCCCTGGCATGTAGTAAGCATCTGGCCTCTGAGATTCCAGCAAAAGCAAGGTAGGGAACAAATATCAGAACAAGAGGATTGGGATAAATGGTGAGGGAGATGGCCTTCTATACAGTGAAGCCTCCATGGTGAGAGAGTAGACACAAGCAGTCCTAGAAGGCCATGGCCCCACATGCTGAGTCCCACAGCTCTGGCTCCATCATAGACCAGTCCAATCTCCACCTTGTCCAAACTCTCTAGCCCAGAGATGTTGAGCTGGCTCTGGATACTTCAGCCCTGCCCACTTGGCTACCCCTCACGTCCATGGCAAAACGAGGCCCTAGAGCAGCTTCTTCCCGCCACCCTCCCGCATTTGAGGACAGTATCATAGTTGTGACTCCTGTCATACATGGCAAGGTGACAGTGGCCTGAGGTCTGCTGGGTGCAATCACAGGATGGCCAGGAGAAAACTTCAGCCTTAGATAGAGCAAGGAATTGCCTTATATTCTAAGGTCAGCCTTGAGGCCCAAGTTTGGCTTTAGCCAGGTGGGTGTCCATGGCTAAGATGAGACAGAAGAGAGTACCCAAACAGTCTGAGGTCACTCCACAGCCTACAGTTTCCCCCCAGCCAGACCCCAAGCCCGGTGACTTCCTCTTGGTCTGGCATCACTAGGCACCAGAGTGAAACCTAGCCAGGCGGGTGGTAGCCCTGAGCCAAGGCCTAGCCCCGTTCCTGCCCGCTCTAAGTACCTTTATCTCAGAATCTAGGACTGCCTAGGGTACAGACAGAGCCCCCAGCAGATGCTCATCACCTGGGGAGCACAAGATGGGGCATGGACATGGACCAGAGAAGTCTGCTGCTTCAGTCTCTGGCCTGGGCATCCAAAAGCCAGACAGCAAGACATCTAGTGCAATTAAACCCATGGACCAGGCCTGGCCCCTCTGCCCTGGGCTTGCTCTGACAGGCCAGGCCTGGTGGTGTCCATACATACCTGGGCCTCATGGTCAGTGTGGATCCTTTGTGTCTGAGCCTTGCTGTCCTCTGGGGCACCAGGCCAGCTCCTGCCTTCAGGTCTGTGACAGGAATTAGGACGGTCAGATAGGTCTGCTTACTGTGCCTACCATGACTGGGACCAGGACCAAGAGGGGCTGCACTCTGCGCCCAGAGCCACCCAGGACCAGGCCTGGCACTCTGCATGGCAGAGGACCCCACTGCCGCACTTGCCCCTGCACCAGAATGGTGGCCATTGTGGGCAAGGAGACAGAACTCTAGATCTGCCACCTGCCTAGGGCAAGGCTGTGTGTTCCAGCCCCACCAGCTGCTCCATGCCTCTCTGGTCTCATTCCCAGACAGGATACAACAGAAGCCCTCCGCTTCCCCACTTTTTCACCCTCTCCGTGGCCTCAGCAAAGAGAAGGCGAGCCCATAGCAGGGTGCGTCAGGCCTTACACATTGATCAGTGAGGAGCCCATCTGCTTATCCTCTTCCATCCACAGCCTCTGGCCTGGCCTGGAGGTCAGGCATCCATGGGCTCTGGGGGAGGTGACATAAAGGCTTTGAGGGGTGCTCCTCCCCTCTTGCTGCCGGCAGAGTCATCACCAATGTCTGCCCAGCCCAGATGGGAAACAGGCCATTAGGAAATTCCTGCTTCACCATAGAAACCAAAAGCCAAACACCACTCAGGAGGGAGAAAAACATCATAAACCTGCCATAAGCCGGGCAGGCGGGGCAGGCAGGGCAGGCGGGACTGAGAGGCTATGGGCCTGCGGCCCAGTCCTGCCATTCGGTAGCCCTGTGAGGAGGCAAGCCATAGGGTGCACAGACCCTGGACTGACAGGTGGGTGTGAAGTGAGGCTGGTTAGATGGTTAGACGGAAGGGGAATAATGTCCCCATTCACCTCAAAAGGCTTCCTGGGGCTTTCCAAGAACTCATCACTGGGCCAGCAGCTCAACACGGCCTCTCTCTCCCCAACTCACTGAAGGATTTTTAACTATCTATCTACACCTGTAGACCACACTCACTCTACACTTCCACACCGTGGCCCGTTCCTTAACCCAGTACAGACTAGCCTCTCTCCTCCAGAGCCTTCCACAGGCCTGTGCGACCAAGCTCTGCTGCCCAAGGGCAACACCATCCCCACTGGTGCCTGGCCCCAGCCCTCTCAGCCAGGCTCCCAGGAACTGCCCTAACTCACAGCTCCACCTATGGCCTCCGCCCACTCGGAACTCTGCTGAGATCAGTCTAGGACATCTCATGTGGTTAAGACGGCCTTATACTTCCCTGAAGCTCTGCCCAGAAGAGAAGTACAAGCCTGTGGTCTGGAGGTCAGAGTGCACAAAGTACCCAGAGCAAAGAGCGCGGCCCAAGGCAGCAGATCAGAATGAAGGGCTTATTTAATCTCCATCCCTAGGCCTTCACTTCAGGCCTGAGAGGTGCTAACATCTACCATCTTTTTTTTTTTTTTTTTTTAAGATTTTATTTATTTATTTGACAGAGAGAGAGACAGCGAGAGAGGGAACACAAGCAGGGAAGAGGGAGAAGCAGGCTTCCCGCCGAGCAGGGAGCCGGATGCTGGGCTCAATCCCAGGACCCTGGGATCATAACCTGAGCCAAAGGCAGACGCTTAATGACTGAGCCACCCAGGCGCCCAACATCTACCATCTTTAAGCAAAATGACAGCCCAAGGATGGGCCATGTAACTGCATCTTGTAACATACACAATGGGCAAACAGACCCCACCAGAAGCCCAAGGTTGGAGCTGATGCCAGGAAGGTTCTGGGCCTACAGAAATGCCCACAAAGTATGGGTTAGCTTGGATTGTTAGATAACTGGCTCCAAGTTCTAGACAAAATAAGCATAGCAGGGAAGCTGGGCCCTTCCTTCACTTTTCATCCTGTGGAGAAGTCCGTGGAGGATTAGAGCCCTTATACATAAGAGGGCAGGTAGGGAACTGGTCTGGATAGAGTTCTGGGGTGGGGGCACAGAATAGCTCTCTCCAGTCAGCTCACCAGGCTGATCTTCCACAGAAACCACGTTGAAGAGGTCTTTGGAGCATAGGTCCTGGCATAGCAGGTAGGACAGAGAGCAGGGTCAGAGGCCTTGCTGGTGAGAGGTGATCAGGAGAAGAAATGCTGGCCCAGGGGGTCAAGGTGGCCTTCATGTCTTGATCTCCCAGAATCTGCATGTGTGAGAACTGGGAATGGGGGCTGGAAGACAGGACCCCAGCTTTTCACCCTGAGCAGACCTGGTACATCATAAGCATCCAATCTCCCAATCCTAAAATGGTCCCATTTTGGAGTTAAGGAAACTGAGAGCTTGGAGATTAAATCACTTGCTGGGGGATAACACAGTTCTCAAGTGCAGAGCTGGGACTTGAACCCAGATCTGTGATAGTAGAGAATGTGCTCTCACCTGCTCCATGGCCAGGCAGCATTTGGGGGCAGAGTAGAACAGGTCAGGGGAAGCCTGGCTCCATCCATGCTTGGCTTGGAACAAATGACCAGGAAAGGAAGGAAGGAAGGAAGGAAGGAGGGGGGACCTCCACCCTGCCCCCATCCTGCTACCCTCCCCTGACATTATTCCCTCTGGGAACCTCCTGACTCAGGCCCCCTACAATCCCCTGCTGCCACCCCCACCCCGCTACTACCAGGGCTTCCCTTCTTTAGCCATGCAAAATCAAGGCCGGAGGTGAGTCAGGGCCCAGGAAACCAGCCAAGTGGGGCGGCCACAGAGGCCACTCGTGGGCAGAGCAGTGCTGATGTTTCCCCCAGCCAGACTGTACCTCAGTCTGGGAGAGGGTGAAGAATGTGATCCTGTTTGGTGGAGAAGGAAACCCAGGCTCACAGAGGTCATCCGGTGTACCTAAGACCCCACAGAGTCTGGATTACACCCAGCTCTGCTGAACTCCCAGGCCAGGGCCCACTCCCTTTGGAGTTGCACTCAGCTCCAAGAGCACAGTCAGGGGTCCTGACCCCAACCCGGACCCAGACCCGGGCCAGACACACGTGGAGGCTATCTCAGAAGCCTTGCTAACATGTTTGATGGCTCCCAGCCCTGCCAGCTCTAACGCATAGTTAGCCGTGTTGTGGTTTGAGGAGGCTTTGCCGACACGCGTCCACAGGGGAATCATGGAAAGTCCCTGTTAACAGTGAACGTGGCAGAGCTGAGCAGTTATGTCTGACTTCCCTGGATCCAAGCAAGACGGGGGGGAAGGGAGATCCCACTCAGCCAGGACCTGGCCAACTGCCTTTAGAGCTGAACAAAGACCCAGGGCCTGACTAGGGCTGCAGAAGCCTCAGGTGCACCTTCCATCCTAGACCATTTATAAGGCATACATGGGGCTTGGGGATCCCCAATCCTCCCCTTCATGTAGGCTGTATGGCATGATACAGGCCATAGCATCCAGATTTACCCAGGGCAGAGGCACGGCCCGTAGCGGGGCCAGCCGAGGCAGGACAGCCGTGGGGTGGCAGGAATGGTCGGCAGCCACTCCTAGGAGTGAGAGAGACCCAAGGACAAGTTTTGCTTCCCCACTCCCTTGCTGTGTGACTTTAGGCACCTGCTAACTGTTCTGAGCCTCAGCTATCTCATCTGTAATACAGGGACCATACCAGGAGACTGAAATCACCCCGCCCCCCGCCCCCCCTCACCCCGGCCCAGCCTGCCCTGTGCGTACCTGCTTACAGAGAGTGTGAGGTGGTCATGGCAGCCCTTGATGCGGTTCTGCGCCTCCAGGTGCGTCATGAGCTCTGTGCTTTCCCCATTGATGGCCTGGATCAGGTCTCCGGGGCACAGGGCGGCCAGTGCGGCCTTGCTGCCGGCGTGAACCTGTAGAGGACAAGCCAGAGGCCTGGACGTCAGTCATTATGTGGCCTTGCTGCAGTCTCTGCCCTGGACCCCCTCCAACCTCAGAACCTGGGCTGTGCGGCCCTCCTGCCCACACGACCTGGGCGGGGGACCAGCCCAGAGACCGGTTGAGTCCCCAAGTGGTCTTACCACAGCCTCTGCTCTAAACATCCCCAGTTCCAGCCCCTGAAGCACTGCTAGGGTGTGAGGGCGTATAAGAGGGGCTTCTTTGGGACTGGGACAAGTGGGATGTCACTCTTGTTGCCTGCATATGTGCCGAAGGACATGCAAGGGACACACGGGGACACATGTGCTCCAGATACATACAAAGCAGGGACATGTCACAAATACCCTCCATAGACAGGGCCCTACCCAGACATACTGCACAGCAGCCCCTTGGCCTGATATTTCCTTGTCTCCCTACTTGTTTCCTTTCATCCCTACTCCCCACCCCACATTCACCTCCACCTCCCCACACTCCATCCCGACCAACCGAATATCCAGGGGTTACCGACAGCCCCGGATAGTTCTCACCTCCACGCTTCTGCAGATGCTCTTCTCTCGACCTGCAACACTCTTCCTTTTGACCTCAAACCCTAAGTACCAGCTTACTCCTCCTCACCTTCATGCCTTAGCAGACAGGCCAGTCCCCTAGGAGCCTCTTCTCTGGGCTCTCACAGTACTCTGTGCACCCCATTTACCACTTTGCTCCCCTAACATTGTTAGAGCTTCGTTCTGGGTCTGTGTCATCACGTCCCCAGCAAGTCCAGGACCACGTACTTCCAGCTGCCCACTTGTGCTCCTGAGTCACAATTTTACCCCCACTTCCTCTGCAGGACAGACACTCTCTCAGGCCACCCCGGTGCTACTATTGATTAAAGGCAAATGGTGTCCAGATCTGGAGCTTCTTACAATGTTGGTCCCTGGATGAGGACCACATGAGGTTGCGGATAGGCGAACAGGGAGGCCTGAGAAGGGGGCCCAGGGGTGTTCAGGCAACAGGGCACCCTTCGCCCTCTCCCTGGTCTCCACACAGACTTTGGAAAGAGACTTTAGGCACCCTCATTAAAAAAAAATTTTTTTTAAGTAATTTCTATGCCTGATGTGGGGCTCAAACTCATAACCCTGAGATTAAGAGTCACATGCTCTACCAACTGAACCAGCCAGGGCCCTGTAGGTGCCCTCATTCCTACCCAGCCTCCCCAGTGGTGCCCTCAACAGCTTCCAGTGACCCCGTTCCTACTGCTGGAGTTGAGAGCTCCTGGAAGCCCAGCTAGGCTCAGCTTATCCAGTTTTCAGTAGTGAGTGGACAAAGCCGAGGTGCTGGCAGCTCCTTGGCTGGAGTCCTGGTGTGGGCAGTGCCTAAGCTGACCCGCCCTGAAATAGGCTGCCCCAAGGAATGTTTTTCTGGAGCATGACCCCCTCAGCCAATAGCCCATGAATGCTTATCCACAGGGCCTGGGCACCCGCACAAGCTTGTCATCCTGGGGGAAGGACCCACTGGGCATTATCCCACCCTCCACTCAAGGCCCAGCTCCAGGCCCCTCTCCTTCATGGACACATGCTCTGTGACATGGCCTGGGCTCTGTGCTTTACCCATAACTAGTTCATGGCAACCTTTCAACCACTGATGAGACAGAGGCTGTTCTCATTCCTAGAGATGAAGTAAGGGAGGCCTGGGGGAAGGGACACCTTGCCCCAGTCCCCACGCTGGAGAGCAGTCTTTTTCTTCAGGGGGGCGGCTAGCTGCAGGATGACTCAGCCAGTACAAGGGGTGCATTCAGGACCCTGTGGGTGGAGGAAGTTCTTGAAAGCTGGGGTGGCTGGGACTCTGCCAGCTCCACTAGCTCGAGGAGTTCTGGTCAGAGAGGGCATGAGGCCAGGAAACCGTGACTCTCCCAACTGCCTTTATATGCATTGTCTCATGAATCCTCCAGGATTGGGTGAGGTGAGGAAACCGAGGTCCAGAGAAGTGCAGAAGGATGCTCAATTGATAAATGGCAGAGTTAGGATTTCATTCCAAGGCAACCGGTTCCAAGTCTTATCCACTAACCACTGTGTGATTTTCTGCAGAAAGGGAGTGAGGGGAGAGAGCATCCCAGGGGAGAGAGAGTGTCACAGGTAAAAAGATCAGCATGTATAATGGCTCATCTGGGAGAGAATAAAAGCAGTCTTCTGGGGTTGAAGCATCATTAGTGAGAAGAGAGCGGAAGGAAAGTCAGAGAAGAAGCAGGGACCAGACCTGCGGGCCTTGTAGGCCCAGGTGAGAAGCTGGCATTTCTCCTGGGTGGTTGGGAACTATGGAGGGTTCTAAGCAGTTTAACTCAGGCCTCTCCCTCTGGCTGCTGACTGCAGGATAAATAGACAGAAGGAAGGGAGAGGGGTACAGCGAGGTCAGCTGGGAGGCTGGGGCACGAACCAGCCCCCTCACCTGCAGCAGCTACATTCCCGGCCCCTGCTCCACTCTGCCCAGCCTAGACACTGTGGCAGACTGGGAGTCACAGAGTCTGGGGCCGTATTGTCCCATACGGTCACAGCAAGTGCCAGACAGGCCTGGGTTCCTGTCCCTGTTCTGCTTCTCTGGATACACCACCTTGGCCTCTCTGAGCCTTAGTGTCCCCAACTATAATGTGAGGCCAGAGGGAGTCCTTACCGGTCAGGACTCTCAGAGGACTACCTGAGACAATCAGGGTAAAAAGTCCCCACAATGGGTTGAGCACATGGTGGTGCTCACTCCAGGCGCTGGTTGCAGGGGAGCTGGTACCAACACCCATTGGGGTGGGGCCTGGAATGCCACGGATGCTCAGCCAGGGCCAGCAATCACCGTAGTTCATAGGAGAAGAAGCCCGGGGCAGTGTTCTTGGGGGCTCTCTGAGGCTTCATGGGCTGAGGTTGTAAGGCCCCAGCTCCACCAGGCAGCCAGCCTTCTCCCTGTCTGAGTGTGGCTGTCACCGCAGTGGGGTGGGCAGGGGGAGGCCCTGGAAGCATGGAAAAGGTTGGGTCTCGAGCCCCCTTGGTAAAAACACTCCCACATATCATCTGCCCTTGAGGTACCTGCTGGGCAAGCTGTGGCCTGTGTCTCCCAGCCGCATACGTCTTCCCAGATCCCACCCAAATCCAGGCTCAGGCATCCTGGTTCCTTGGGCCTGAGCTGCTGCCGCAAGACTCTGGGGGACAAGGGGTGGTTCTTTCTGGCAAACCTTCTCCCAGCCTGCCTGCCTGCCTGCCTGCCAGGAGCCTGCATCCCGGTCAGCTCCAAACAAGGCCGCCGGTGGCTGCCACTGTGACGTGTGGAGGCCTTTTCTCCACGGGCAGGCAGCCGCGTGGGCAACAGATGTGTCTGCTCCCTGCCGCCTGTGGCCGTCAGCCGCCGCCACTGAGCCTGTCAGCGGCCTCACGCCCAGGGTGCCTGGACTGCTGGCCGGCACAGCACCCCCACCAGCCCGCCCTGGCGGACACACAGCAAGGCATACATGCACACATGCACGCGCACACACACACACACGCACACACGCACACACACAGCCGTCTCCCTCAGGGAAGTGGGAGATGAAAGGCTCCCGGATGTGTTAAAGGCCCACCTCACTCAGCCCCAGGAACCTGGTGGCCATGGGTAAGGGCAAATGTGGGAAGCCTCCCAGGACAGC